GGCATGAAAGTCTCTGTACTTGTCCATCCTCTTCCTTCTCCTCCTGCTTCTGCTGCTGAATCTGCTAAGCATTCATCCCCATCCTCTGCTGCTCCATTATTGCTTTCCATTAATGCTTTCTGGTCTCTGCTCATGTCTTCTGCCTTGGTTTGGTTTGGATGTGTGGTTGGATGATCTAGCAAGTGTGTTTTTTCTTAGGAATTTTTATGATTTATCATTCTCATTTTCTTTTTCATTCTTCCCTGATTCAATCCAGACATTGTTGTGTCATATGAGACTCCATGATTGTGTCAAACCAATACCATTCCCAATTCTGAAGGTTGTTGCCTTTCCAAACTTGAGTGTTGTTGTCTGTTAATTCACATCAAAGTATCGAAAGCTAGACTGATTATTGAATTGTTCAAGGCATTGATTCCACAATTATTGGTCAAAATCACGATCGAATTGGTCATAAACAAAAATTTCATTAAATTAGTTAAGGTACTCCATTTTCAATGCTATGATTCAGATTCCAGACATATAAAAAAGCTTATGATTGATGCTCACACATTTAAATGGAATTGAAATCAAGAACACTATTTTTAGTAAAAACATTAAGACAGGCACTAAAGTTTGATACATGCTTCTGGGAAATCGGTAAAGAATGTTCTCTTCATTTTGTATGTAATTATAGTTTATGTGTAGTTAGTGAAGATTCTGCTGTAATCACGTGGCTATGCATGTGCCTTCAATCTTAAGATGAGAGGTCTTGTATCATTGACTGTACTCTTGTCTTAATTACTGGGCAAAGTTTTAATATAAGATAAAGGTGTGGAAATTAGTTTTTTTCCCCCAAAAATATTGCCTTTCCTTAACTGCACTATGTTGTAATTTATACATGCATTTTGTTGTGATAATTAATTTTAATGAAGGGAAAAATTGGAAAATCAAATGTTTTTCACAGGTTTAAGGATATTAACCATGACTTCTTAAAAACTGTGAAGTTGATTAATTTTATCCTATAATCAAGAGAGGGTGGAGTATCATGTTCAAATTTTGCACTGAACTCAATTTATGACCGGTTGATCTTCTATGCCTGACCAAATATCTTTGGATGCTATTTAGCTTACTGCCTCTGGTTAACATTCGTTATAAGGCACTTTTAAGAGATATCATGTTTAAAATTATAAGATATTTTGGTTTTTTTAGAAGTAATTAATGAGGGTTTTTTTTTTCACAAATGCTATTAATAAATATTTGAAATTAATGAGATTATTTTTTAATTTACTTGTGGTTAAGTTATCTTATTAAATAAGGTGGATATAGAAAAATTTTATAATTTTTAATGATTTTAATTGTTTTATTTGAAAGTGATAGTTAAAAATGTCTTATAATTTTAAATAAAAGGAGTACTTATTTAAAAGAGTGAATTTTATTTCATGAGAAGTGCACATGTTATTCACACTCTATTCAATAAAAGCGTGTCATGTTAGATGAATGTAAATATAAATTAATTTTGTTATTGATTATAATAGATAGAGAAAAGTAATAAATTAAATAGGTGCTTTATTCTAAAATAAAATCATTACAAAATAATAATATAAGATATTATTTAATTGAATTGGTGTAATATGATATAGTATGTATGAAGTGGTGTGTCGAGTTTATCTAATAATTTTTTATTTTATGTTAGGAACCACAAAAACCAAAACAAAATGATTTTGATGATTTTTAATGTGATATTAAACACACTAAATTTCACAAATATAACAGTATTTCAAAAATACACCTCTTGAGTCGTGCTTTTGTGAACAAAGCCAACTTATTATAACGAGAAAATGACGTGTGATCATTGAAATAGAATATTGACATGTAAGTCTCATATGAACTAATTACACTATATTTTTTTTTTGAAATTTTTTTGACATTAAGTTTTCTTGCCATATTACCACCATATTAACCTTCTTGACATTAAGTTGTCACTGTTAAAATTGCAGTTGCCAACTTGTCATGAGTAATAATCAAAGTTGTCAATCATTATACAAAACTTATCATTGAACTTTATGTGACTACTAATCTTTAAAATCCATTAGTTAAATTTTTGAAAAGTAGTTATCATAGATGCGATTGTAGTTGCCATTACTTGTAACAAAAGTTATTTATCATTCTGAACTTATCATTGAGCTCCAACACTTGAAACCAAGTTAATTGTTATTTATAAAAAATAGTTGTCATTGGTGAAAGTGTAGTTGTCACTTTTAAATATATGGTTGTCATTAATTACGATCAAAGTTATCAAATTGTATAGAAAAATATTATTTAGGAGAGAACAACCTTTTAAATGGCACTCAAATTTTTTGAGAGATTAGTTTCACAACTACTGATTGTGGAGATGCCTGGGCAACAAAAAAAAAAATTGTTATACATAACTTGTTAGAGCTCTGGTGTAATTTCAAATTATGGGCACTATGGTATAACTTGATAAGGAAAATTAATGTCAGAAAATGATCTAAGAACTCTACTTTGATTAGCTCATTATTATGGAACTTATATGTCAATAAGCTATTTCAATGATCCTCATATGTTATTCTCCCTACTATAATTCATACTTGAAAAACATATAACAAACCATGCATATGAAGAATCAGTTTAATAGATTTGGACCTAGTGAGAGGCTTAAATCCACTTATCCAATAATTATCTCATGTGACATGACAATAATAATTCAATTTAATTGAATGATTGTAAAATGTTTTGTTATCTAATACTTAGAAAGTGAATCTCAAATTTTCAAAGAGAACAACATATGTGAAGAGTGTTTTGAATATAAAGATTGTTTTGAATTTTGGACAGAAAATATATTTTGATAATTTTTAAGTATTGATGAAATATAATTGCTATAATTAGTACACGCATTAAATGAATAGATTTAAGCCACTTGTAAATTTAAATCTGTAATTAACTTTTAAATTGATAACCAGAAGACAAATAACGAAACGAAGGGTTATTATGGTTCTGTTAGCTGTTACGAAAGCCAACAACTCTTGTTTCCCCGTAAGTGACACATTTGACACACATGTTTATGTATCTTTTTATGGTTAACTCAATCCTTTTTTCTAAAAAAAAAAATTATTACTTAAGAAGTCGCGAAATTGGTAGGCAATGTGATCCTCATTTGACTGATGACTTGTTGAAAAGGACTAGAGCATATCAACATGACATGATTACCATATAGTTAATATAATATATTAACAACAATATTGAAGAGATTTGATACGATCGCATGTTTGTTTTAGCACCGAATTTCTGGGTCCGAGACAGGGCCAGATCCGGAGTTTTATTGTTTTTTTTTTGGGCGGTTAAACTGAAAATAAAATAAAATGGGGGGCCAAAGTCTACTTTAAACTATTTTGCAAAGAACAAATAAAATTTTGCTAAAGGCGCAATGATGTAAGGGGGGCAAGGACCGTCTTTGGTTCGAGATTTGACATGGATTTGTCTTCTTTGGCACTTTAAAGGAACAAGACAATGTCATAATTTGCAGTCTTGTGGCCAACTCAAGAAGTTATACTCCTCCGATCTCATTTATAAGTCTCATTTTAGAAGGTGTATTTGGTCTCATTTATAAATTATGGTGTATTTTTTAGGTAATATTTGAGAGGTATTTTTAAAATTACCCTTCATGAGAGAGAAAAAGTAACAGGACATTACTTTTTAAATTTGTTATATAGGAGCATGTTTGAAATTTTACTTACTTTTATTCCTTGTACTTTTATTATATTGGTATTGATAAGGTTGGTAGAAATAACTTATAAATAAGATCGGAGGGAGTATGTTTGAAGACAGGAACAATATAAAATTGTTTAATAAAAAAATTTGAATGATGGGGATGGGGGAAGTGGAGGGAAAGGGAGGAAAAAAAATGAAGACATCCCTAGTCCGTTGGAAATGCTATCTCCAATTAAATTTAAGGGTTAAATATTATTTTATATTTAAATTTTTTCTTAGAGTTTTTTAGGTACTCTTAACTTGATTGAAATTATTTTATCCTTAAACATTTAAATTTCAATATCTCATCACCTTAACATTAACATATTTAACAGGTGTTATGTGGATCTCACTATTTGTGCATTTTTACAAGGTTACAATGTCATTTTTTGCCTCAAACTTTTCCTTTAAGGTTTACAATTACATTGAACTTGATTTTAGATTATTTTTATTCCTAAAAATTTGAAATTCAGTGCGTCATCACCTTACCATCCACAAGTCTAATAGTTTAGTTAATGGGTTACACTATTTGCTAAGCTAGCATTTTTTTAATATTTTTATAATAAAATGTTATATGTGAATCCCAATCTTCTTCTTCCTCTCCCCTCTCTCCTCTATCCCTCCATTCTCTCTCTTTCCTTTATTCCTCCAATCTTCTCTCCATGCTTTGCAACCCAATTTTGAACCTACTCCGAAACTAGGTTGCAATGGAGAAGAATGTAGGAGAGATAACGTGGAGGGGGGAGAGGGGAAGGGGAAGAAGAAGATTGGAACCTCATATAATATTTTATTACAAAAATATTTTAAAAAAAATACCAGCTTAACAAAGCATGAGCCCATTAATGAAATTGTTATGCATGTGAACAATAGAGTGATGAGGCAATAGATTTAAAATGTTCAAGGACAAATATGACCCAACATTGAGTTCAAATTACTCGCAGACTTTAAGCAAAAAGTTCAAAGACAAAAATTACCCTTAACTCTTATAAAAAATGCAAATGGTGGGGCCTATATAACAGCCATTAAACGTGTTAACATTGAGGTGATGAGGTAATGGATTTCAAATGTTCAAAGATAAAAATGACTCACAATAAAATTTAAAATACCTATAAATCCTAAACAAAAGTTTGGAGGGGTCCTTTAACCCTAAATCTAATAACGCTTGAATGTCATATGATAATACTAAAAGCTAGATAAATGCTTCAAAAAAGAAAAAGAAAAAGACAAAGGAGTAGCATTCTCATGGGTTAATACTTAGTGTTGTCCTGGTAATGATTGACTTTGTCATGTGATTTAGACTTGATTGGTCCATAACTTCATGAGACCATGACCATTCAGCAAGCACAAACCAAAAGTGACTACCATCAATACCATCATATATCAAGCCATTACAAAGCACCAAGAAAGTCATCTAGTATACATTTAACATACATTTCAACGCTACAGGTGCATTCAAACTCAGCACAAGATGAAACAAACAGTAAAATGAAGCCTAACAAAAAAATATTAACATAAAAAACCTATTCTGCAGTACCTTTTTGTCTTCTTCATGATTCATAAACCATAACCCCTTCAGATTCTTAACAATATCCCCAATATCTGGCCTCAATTCTGGATCTTTCTGTAAGCAAGAAAGTGCCATGTTGATGCACAAGCTTGCTTGCTCTTTGTTGTAATCTTCTTTCAACCTCTCATCTACAAGCTCTAAAATGTTACCAGATTGTGCCAATTGCTTACACCAGCTTACTAGATTGGCTTTCTCAAGCTTCAGTGGGGATAAAGGAATATGTAATGGTCTTCTTCCTGAAACAATCACAAGGATCAATACTCCTAAACTGTAAATGTCAGTCTTCTCCGTTGAGAAGCCATCAAATCCACCATATTCTGGAGCAGCATAGCTCAGCGTCCCTCTCATGCTGGCTGTGCTGCTGAAAAGATCTCCGCTTCGCATCTCGCTCCCAATGGAAGGACTGCTTCCTTTCTCTTTCCAACCTCTTCTGAAACTGAACTCCCCATTTTGATCATAGCCATTCTGATCCTCCCTTCCAAGTTTTTTACATCTGAAGAAATAAAACCTTTTACCCAAATCAAAATGTCGTACTTTAAACTTCTTCAACTTAGTCTGTAAATTTTTCAGGTTGCCTCTGTTCTTGCTTAATTCTGCCAGATTCTCTTCTTTCCACAACTCTTGCATCTTCCTATGCTTCTTATGATATTTCTTTTCCACTGATTCTTTGTTCTCAGCAGCGCCAGTGTCAGCATCTTTTGTGCTCATTGCTTGAAATTGTGATCCATTTACATCATCGGGTTTATCTGTTGGATTTGGATTTTCCAGTTCTGTTTTCTCAGGGATGTTCTTCTCTTCATCCCAATTAGTGTTTGGTGGATAAATCTGACTCCCTATCCACTCCATGACATAATCTTTACTGCATAATTCTGAACTTTCATCCTGCCTCCACCACCAATCTTTACCCCATGGTTTTTCACCTGGCTTTTCTTCATCTACTGATGAAGCATTAACATTTAACTCCTTACCATGATCAATGCTGGAAAAGTCACCATCATAAGGAACAAAGTTGTTATCCCAATCGTCCCCACCAATGTACAAACTTGAGATTTCCTTCCCCTTGACAGCACTTGTCCTCACTTCATTTTCACTGATGAAGGCACTAGAATTCACCGAATCCAAGTTCAAAGCTCCAACATTATAACCTGCTTTACTATACTTGGATGAAGGAGATGCCTGCAAAGTATCAGTGGCTGGGCTTTCTGCAGTTAAATTACCTGAAAACTCTTGGCTCTTCCATAGGTCCCGACTCTTATCACAGAAATTCCTACTAAATTCACCATCCTCCACTTTAATCCTTGACAATCCAAAATCCGAGATCTTTGCATGGTAATCTTCATCAAGTAGAACATTGCTTGGCTTAATATCCCCATGAATCACTGGAGGATCACATTCAAGGTGCAGGAATTCCAAAGCTCTAGAAACATCCAATATTACAAAAAACCTTGTTTCCCAGCTTAAACTGAAACAGACATTTTCTCCAAAGAGAGACTCCTGCAAGCTTCTCTTAGGCATATATTCAAACACCAAAGCTCTCCGGTTGTCCTCCATACAATATCCCAGTAGGGTCGATAGGAAAGGGGATGTTAATCCACCAAGAATCTGAAGCTCATTCTGAAACTCTTGCTCTGTTTGTAAACACAAAGCATCTAGACGCTTAATAGCAATAAATTTCCCATCTTTAAGCTTTCCTTTAAAAACTGTGCTAGACCCACCTTTGCCTATGACGTTTTCAGTGTGAAAGCCATTGGTGGCTTGCTTGAGCTCTTTGTCTGAGAATCTTTGGAGCTTCAAAGGAGAATTTGCATCAAATGGGATCGTTTTAGCTCTATGTACAACAGAGTACCAGACATGGTATAGAAAGTAAAGTATTGAGCAGAAAATAACAAGAGACGCTGAGATTGTGAGAGCCAGGAAAAGAACCATGTTCTTGGTGAAAAAATTGTGACTTGGAGCTGGAGGGAAGGATCTTGAAGTCATGTTGGAGATGGATTCTACTTCTAAGATTCAAAGGGTCTTAGATTCGAGATATTATTTACAGGAATTGAAGAAGGAAAGGTGAATGAAGAACTGGCTGATGAGCCTTCCGGTTTTTCTGATTCATGCCTATCTTAGGTCCCTGGTATCCAAATTTGGCTGCTTTCATGGTTTATAATATCAAAGCAGTTGAATTCAACCATGATCCATTTAAGAAAATAATAAACTCAAGTCTTTCCATCTGAACTTATGGACTTGGAAAATAAAACTAAATGTTTGACGGAGATCAATCTTCTTTAATTGAATTGGGATATGGGAGATGACAAGACAAGAGTTGACTTCATGGTTTTAGCTTCAAGAGTTTTCATACATTCATGCATGTTTCTATCAAAATCATAGTTTTAGTGGTTTATAATGTAAAACCAAACACGCTTGTATATTGACTAAACACTCCTTTGTTGAAAAAAAATTATTTATTACTCCTTCCACCTTATTTTATAAGATATTTTTTGAGGTGATTTAGTATCCCAAAATATATAAAAAAATGTTTTTTAAAAAATAAAATTTTATTAATGATGATTATTTCAATATTATCCCTCATTATTTCACAAAAATTTCTTTCCTCTCCCTTATTAATAAATGATAATTTTGGAAGTTTATAAAAAATTAAAATTATAATCTTTAGTTAGTTGTTTTGTTTTATCCCGTGTTTTCTGGAACTATGGTTCTTGTTTCTTACAAGAAAATTCGCTAGTATATTATATATGTGCCAACTATTAAGTGTTTATAATAATGAGATGAGACGAATAAGAGAATATGCAAGTGGATTTTGTGTGGTGGAAAATATAATAAAGAAGAATTCAGCCAAAATGTCATAAACGGTGGAGCCTACTCAGATGCTTTTCTGAATTTGACTTTTTATTAACAACCTGAAAGTGTGACTTGAGTTCAATCAAATCATTTTAAAAATTAATAAATATTTATTTGATTTGAACTAATAAAAAAACTTACATTCCAACAAACAATTATAATTTTGAAAAATCTCACTTAGGGCCTCATAGCATAGAATTTTGCATTTAAAGCAAATACAATCTAAAAACTTTTTACAGCTCAAGGGCCTGAGTAGAAATATATTTTAACAAAATAAGTTGTATTTGTCTTTGGACATTTTATTGTCAATTAAAGGATATTACATTATACATTCATAGATATTCATTTGTACTTTCATCTTGTATAATTTGTGCATTTTAAATTAAACTATTTTCACTGGTCCAACTATACATTATAGGACATTGTGTTGAGATTTTATAAACATTATGTTGTGTATTCATGGATATCTATTGTTATTTCATCCTGCAGAACTTGTACATTTTAAATTAAGCAATTTCTTTGACACCAATTGTTCATTAAAAGACATTATGTTAAGAATTTATAGACAACATATTGTGCATTCATAGAGAAAGGGAGGGCAAATGCATTTTTTTTATTAAAACATATTTTCACTCAAGGCACTTGGGTTTGCAGAGAGTTTTTAAATTTTATTAGGTTATAAATGCAAATTTTTATGCTTTTGAGGCCCTAAGTGAGATTTTCCCTATAATTTTTAATCAAATATTAAGCACGCCCTACATTCTAGGAGATGCCAAGATTGGAATAAGGAGAGAAGTGATCAATATTGGCTAGGTTTAGTGAAATGAATTAGATTTTTACAACATGACACACCAAGAAGAGATATGTTTATGTTTAGTACTTGACTATACTTCAAATGGAATATTGGTGTTGGTTGGTAATAAAATTAAATTTTTATTATTTTTCCTATTTTTAATTTTTTTTAAAAAAATGTTCAGTAATTTCTGGCAAGAAACAAAAATATTCAGTAATATAATAGAGAACCTTGACTGCCAAAACAAATAATAAAGCGAACCATGTGAGGGATGCCTTTGTCCCAATAATGGATAGCCTTCACAAATATTTTGTTTTGAGGAAATCTGGTCACTTGAGAACTAAGGCATACATGTTTAATTAACTTATCATATACACTAAGTGGACCAATAATCTCTTTGAATTGATAATGACATTTGATCATCTGATAGTCCTGCATTTCCGGCTCAATAAACAAAATCACAAATCCTGATAAAAGTAGAAGCAACATCAAGAGGACAAAACTATTTTATAAAGAATCCATAGGTAATAAATCAAGAAATGAACCCACTGGTAAGCCAGTAAAGGTGGGTTAAGTGTCCGTTTGATTACAAATCGATTTGTTAAAAATTCATTTAACAAAAATAAATTTAGTGAAAGTCAGTAATTATAATAAAATTTATATTTTGAGATATTTTTTCAAAAATCAAGTTTGGTAAATTAAAATATATTTGAATTTCATATAATTTAAAATGTTTTTGAATATATTATTACTAATAGAAAGGAAATTGATTTTTATCATTTATAATTTTTTCTACACAAATGCAATATATTATTAATGATTGAAAATATCTGTGATAAAAATTTTGAATAGCATAAAAGTTAAAATATTGGACAAAAAATTGTATAAATAATTCAATATACATTAATAAAAGCATCTGACTCGAGGAGTGGCATGATAAAATCAAAAGTTAAATGCATATTTTAACTCCCTCATTGAATGCCCAATCCCAATGCTCACAGTTAGTTTCAAAAGCAATGTTTACCTCGAGCAAATTCACTTTCTAAGGCTTTTCAAATGAACTTTCTAAAGGTGATGTGTATCTTTATATCCAAATTTAGTAGCTAAACAACTTTTAATTTTCAGAAAGTTATTATAAAGTACCTTTTTAAAAGTCAAAAGTAAGTTGCTTGAATGGACATTAAGTTAATAAAGATTTAGCTCATAATTTATCATAATGATATGAGAACATTGTTGGTAAGGTTTTTGTAAATGCTGTTGAACTTAAAGGTATGTCCTAAGTATAATGAGTTATTGGGGTCCAACTCATAAAAAAAAAATTGTCCGAAAAAAATAAAGTAAAGAATCCACATGTAAGGAACTTGTGTGTTTCAAAATATATATATTGATTGGGTTCAACATAAATACAATGAGCACATTAAAAGGTTTGTTGAATAGTCGTGACTAACTAACTACACAGAAACATTAACCAACTTTACTCCAGAGGAATAATCCAAACATGACCTCATGTAAGGGAAAGAAGAACTAAAATCTTTGATAGCCTTTCCTTCACAATTATGCTTAGGAGGAATGTGATAACAAGGCTCCATAGAGAAGTCCCTTTGACAAGGTGGATTGGGATGAAGAGTCCTATTTCCGACTAGCCTATGAAGAAGCCATGGCTTCAATCCTCCCAAACCTTGAGCCACATACCCAAAAGTAGATAAAGAAGTAGTCACCAACACATCACAAAGACTCAAAAGGTACATATCAGTCCATGCCTTCATGTTATGCAAATTGTTATGGAACTTTTGACTCCCTTCGTGACTTGGTTGATGTACTCCTACCACTTCTCCTGTAATGGTTGGTTCCGTCAAATACATAATTCTCAATTTCTCACCAAATTCAGGAAATAGCGATGCAACTAGAACAACCTTTAAACTTGGGTCTTCATGGGTTGAAGTCGAAGCCGCCGAATTTTTCTTGTCTAATTCCGGGAGCAACTTGTGCTGCAAGGTGCAACTTAAGAGTAGATCCATAACTGCTTCATGTGGGGTGGAATCAGGAGTGAATAGCCTAATTTGAAGGCCAATTTTCTCATCTGCTTTTGCTAAGTATGCATCATAGAATCTGCTTATTTGTCCCCAAGCCTCATTTGAAGGGTGAAAAAGGTAATTTCCTACATGGTGAAACACAGTGTCTCTCTCTGGAAACATTTGTGCAATCTCAAGGTTAAAGGATGGGATCATGGACAGAGAAGGGACAAAGTACTGGTCTGTTTGCAAAATCAAAAGAGGGACTTTTTGAACAAGCTTTTGATTATGATCACAGTGGAAAAACTTCTCAGGATCATCTCTGGTGTGTTGGAGATTCAGATATAGAACTGATGGTGAACTGTTCTTAGCCAACATGTTTTCATATGTTTCAACATGCTTAGGATTCCAAAAAGGAGAATCTTTTGAAAATACCCAAGTTGAATTCAGAAATGGCTCACAGAACAAACCCATCATGTCATTTTCAAATTTCACAAGTAGGACTCTGTCTGTGAGTACAGCATAAACAAATGAAGCAGCCATGCTTATGATTCTATTACCTAAGCCATTTGCAGGTGTCCAAACAAGGTACTTACACGTGGTATCCTCACTGTTTTTCTTAGACCTTAGAAGCTTTTTCATGGTTCTGTTGTAATATCTGGTCCATGGTCCACATTTTCTGTGAATTTTTTCATAATTGCGTAGTTTGGAAATGAGATATGAAGAGGGTTTGTGCGGAGAAGCTTTTCTATACAAGTGAGACTGAAACCTGCTTATGCATGATGCTTCATCAAAACCAGAAGCTTGAAGCCCATCATAAAGTCTTTCGGTGACATTTTTGACAGGTGAGATTGAATCATTTGTGAATCTTGAGCATGAAGAATTCAATCCTATAAATTATGAAGAAACTAGATACAAGTTAGCAAGATAGAATGTTACCACCATGCATACAAGGACCATGATCTAACACTAACATAGTTAATTTCACTTACGTGTACCTAACTTGGGTCATGGTTCTTAAGTGCATTTTTAAAACTATGCAGACAAACATTATAGGCTGATCAAATTAAAAGGAATAGGAACAACAAAATAAAATTATAAGGATTAAAAAACAAAAAAAAACAATTAAAATATAGGGACCTGTTGTATTTTCCCTTACTTTTTTTTTGTTTTTGTTTTTTTGGTAATAAAGTTGTATTACCTTCATCTGACTCTGTAAGATTCTGATAAGCTATGTCTTTTGTTGCTGTAATATTGAGATTTTCCTGCCAAACCCTTGACTTTTACAAGTTCATTAAGGATAAAGTGTGTGAGCTTGGATCAAAAAATGAGGGAAAAAGGAAACAAAGGAAAGACAAGGGGGGAAAGGTATTGTAAATACCTCTGAGGAGGTTCCATTAATATCTGATGCATTGGTTGAGAGGTTGTGAGGTCTTCTTCTTCCTAGGATGTCTTTTGAGAAACCCTCAGAATCAGAAAGATAGAACGTTGAGTTCTGGTACATTAATAATGTAATTATGAGCAGTAAAGAGAAAGCCATGGCAAACAAAGCAGAGC